TTACAAGTTAAGTGAGAAATAGAAACCAGGGTTGGGGAATTAAAATTTGATCGCCACTCAGTATTTAGGCCTGGAGTTTTGTCATGTGGTAGGCAAGAATCTCACCCAGGTGAATGGTTAGAAATTCTTAGGCTCCTCACTAGAGTCTGGGCCAGTGGACACTCGGTGTCTGTGGTGACTGTGGCTACTCCAAGTGACTAGAAGATGGAACTTCTGGACAACAAGGCCATCCCTGACCTGACCTGAGAAAAGCTCATGGTGTTCTCAGGCCATGACTAGACTTGAGAAACTTGACCACATGCCTCACTAAATCTGTAATTTTAGGGCCTCAAAAGAATTTGAGTGCTTTACCTTTGTCGTTTGACTGTTCTTAGCCATGTAGATCCAATTGGGACATGACTTTGCTCTGCATTGGTAGCTCAGGGCCTGGGTGTACATGTAGATCACTCAGGGAACTTGTGAGAAGTAGAGATTTATAGGCCCTGTTTCAAACCCTGTGAATCAGAACGTGGGGGGAGTGGGCATAGGAATCTGCAGTTGGTTTTGCTTAAAATTCCTCTGATGGTTATTATGCCATGGATTGGGAGGCAGCTTTGAAACACTCCTCTGCAGTCACAACAGCAGTATAAACCCTATATGCTGTTCAGACGAGTGATGTGCTAAAATTGTTGCCATCCTTGTTCTGTTAATGTTGTGCCTTTCTACTACTTTAGAACATATAATAAAAAATTAACAGTTTTTATAGTTCAAGGGAGAACTAAGTAGGGCAATGAAAATAAATGCACAAATCCTGGGTACCTCTTCAATGGTTCAAAAATATTAGCTGTACTAGGGGTGATGTGCAGCTTTTTGGCCAACGCACTGATTTAATAACAGCTATCGTTTATCAGATGCTGGCTACATTCCAGTCCTTATTTGCATCATCTATGTTTTAACCCTCCAAACAATCCTTATAAAGGATACTGTCACTGAAAAAAAAAAAAAAGAAAAGAAAAGAAAAGAAAAAAGAAACAAACTCAGCTCAGCTTGGAAATTGTGGGGAAAGTGATGAAAACCATAGAGAGGCTTACTCTCCACTCTCCTCCTTTCCTGCTCCAACCTCCCTCTGACTTTTATCCCACACTGTTCTCAACTATAGGATCTATTCCTTCTCCAGAATACAATAAGAGGAATGTTGAGGCAAACTTAGAAGTGGAATTTTACATTTGGGAAAAGTATTTCTCACAGAGGGAATCAATCTAACGTGAAGAAGGAAAAACATTAAATGCAGCTAGGTAAATAAATCAATTAAAAGTTGACATTTTAATTAAGTAACACATTAAAAGTAAAAACAAGCATATGCGCGTGCTGCGCGAGCATACACACACACACACACACACACATGCACGCACACACACACACATATCCCAACAACAGCAAAGGCAAGTTAATCCTGTAAGTGGATCTTATTCCTTTAACTGCAAGAATAAAGGTATTGAGGTTCTTATTTCTTTAACTGCAAGAATAAATGTATTTAGCTCAGTATTCAGACCATAGTTTAGTTAAGAGTCTCAAAGTTTTACGATTCAGACTCCCACTTGTCCCTGAAACCAGGACACTCAGCATAAGCTATGAACACTACAGATACAAATGCATTCCAGTTAGATAGGCACTACTTGGGACCAAAGTTTAAGTGATCTGCTTACAGAGAATATCAGAATATTCTGTCATATTTTATCACTGAAATAAATTGAAGTTATGCTATGTTTAAAAGGAATGATCAGTAATTGTGAAATATCAGGTATCCATAAATAAATCTTTAAATATATTAAATATTTAAAAATACATTTAAGGGGCTGGGATTGTGGTTCACTGGCAGAGCACACGTGTGTGTGAGGCACTGGGTTCGATCCTCAGCACCACATCAAAATAAATAAATAAAATAAAGACATTGTGTTTATCTACAACTAAAGAAATATTTTTAAAAATGCATTTAAAAATGAGCTAACATGGCAACTCTTAGGAGAAAGTAAAAATATTTTCAAGTTGGATTGGCTCAAGAAAGATTTTTAAAAATCAATGGATTTAAATCAATATTTCAGAAATGAATGTATGCTAATGGCAATTCACTAAAGGATGATGTCATATTCATTAAATTGATAAAGATATATCCAAGAATGGCTATTGCTAAAATTAGATTTACAGATGAAAAAAATAAAGCAAAATTAGTTATCATAAAAATAAATTGAAATAAGGCAATTAAAAACAAGAAAATTAGAAAAATACTTTTTAAATGTGGCCAAGGGGAAAAATTAGAACAGATTTTAAAAAGTATAATCAGAAATGATTTTACAGTTTTGTCATAATATAAAATATAGCTTGTAATAATTTACATCAGTGATAAATACCAATTTGTAAAAAATATTTCCAACTTTTAAATAACCATTTTTTTTAATATTCAGAATACAAAGTGAATTGTGAATTAAAAAGTAACAAGCCCTCAGTAGTAAATTAAATAATAATACTGATAGAATTAACAATAAAGCTGCCTATTTTACATATTATCTTATTATATATATTATTATCATACCTTAATCATATCAACTTATTTAATTCTCATATCAAAAATATGTTGTAATTATTGTCATTATGGACATTTGGGAGTTCACCACTAGTACTGCATACATTTTTTTTTTAATCTCTGTATTTTCCTCTGGGAGTCCACCATGGTGAGCAGTCTATGTCAAAAGCTTCCACATGGCTCATGCTGTTGTAAGTGAGTGTCACACCTGAAGCCACGATTGTCCTTCTTCCTTCTCACAAGCTCTCTGATACCTCAGAATGGAATGGCTGCAGGAACACATGAGACACACACGGATAACCTCTAAATGAGGAGCTTTTTCCATGTGTAGACTGGGGTGATCAAACATTGGATAAACACCTCGTTCCAGAAACCACAGAAGAGCAAGTGTCAGAGACACAGAAAGGTGAGTGTATGAAATAAAGTGAAATGACAGATGAAGATCAGGACATGCAAAGAATTTGCAGATTCTGAAAATAGAGATTAGACATTCCTTGCAGACATTACCAGGTCTGTGTTTTATCAAAGACAATATTGTTGAGTTTGTGTTTTATAAATTGGTGAAGAAGATTCTAAGAGGACTTAGAGAAAGAAAAATGCAAGACTGAATTAGGGAGAATAGATAACAAACTATAATGTATAATATTTGGAAGGGATATAAATGATAAAAACACAGGGAATTAGATTCAGATGATGAGACTATTCAAAGAAACAAAAGAATAAATATATACAGATGGATATAACTATGAATTAATATTTTAAAAAACATTTATTTTGTTGTTTTCTACAAATAATTTGAAAAGTAACAATAAATTATATAATGCCTATTTAAATAGCAAATTTTTGTGTGATATGACTGAAATATTTTCTCTTTTTGTCTTTATTCTTTTCTTCTCTTTTTTTCTTGCTTTCTCACTTCCTTGCTTGCTTGTGGTCTGACCTAATGAGCATCTGAACTTTACGATAACAAGTATGTGAAATTCAGTGTCAACTCAGTGTTACTTGGAAAATACAAAAGCTAACCTAATCTTGAAATCCTATTATTGTTTTTGATATATTTAGCAACTTCATCCATGTAAAATGAGATTTAAATTGTACAATGTTCCTACTTTGAGCTACTATAATTCCTCAAGTGATGTAATCATCATTATGTGGTATTTGAATGCTTTTTTATTTTAAAGAAATAGAAAAATAAGAATATTTTAAGCTAACAGAAATTGTAAGCAAATGCCTAAATGCTTAAGCATGCATTTTTACATATTCATGAACACAAGCACCTGCCCAGGTACCTTTTCAATTGTTTTGTCCCTGGATTATTGTAGGTGATTCACTATTCTTTCTAGACACAAAGCTCTAGGTCATGTTTACTGAAAATCAAACAATCTGCATAGATTTTGTTCTTTTTAGTATTAAATTTATTTGGTAGTTTCAGAATAGGTAAAGAATGTATTCTTTATGAAATAATTTGTTATTTAATATTAAAAATACTTAATTATTTGATATTGATTATTTTTAATTAATCAATCTTAGTTTGATTCTTTAGAGAAAGCATTAATTTTATGATGCTAAGATTAAATAATTACAATACAGTATCTTTTCAAAAACAGAAAAATAGTTTTATTAAGGTGTGCAAACAGAAAATTTATGGATAGTCTAAGTAAGGTGTCCCCACGTGTATATTTGAAATTTAGCAGTGCATAAAGATGACATCACTAACAACTGTGGATGGGTTAGGTTGTTTTCAAAATCATGTTGGGACCCAATTCAGGAGAGACCATACAAAAGGTATCCCATGTAACATCAAAAATAAATATGGTCTCTATATGCTTACCCACTGCAATGTCAAAGTTAGAACATATTCAGCAGAGGAGAATGGAGAATCCCTGTGAAATAATAAAAATAACTTTTCAAAAAAAACATGTTTAAAATATAAGCCACAGAGCAAAAACAATGTTTATATCAAAGGTCCTGTTCAATGAAGAATGCTATGAATAAAAGTTTTGGACAGCAGATGGTAGAAAAGAAAAAAAAATTCTATATTTAGAATTTATAAATGGATGATCTTGAGATATAAGGAAACTTACTTACAAAATGAAACAGAAAATAAAATATACATTTTGCAAACATTTAAAGAGAATTTAAAAGTAAATTTTATTTGTTCTGTTTCTGCTGTTAAAAAAAACGCTACAAACTCAGTAATTTAAAACAATAAAAATGTATTATCTTAAAGTTTTGAAGTTTGGAAATTTAGAAGTAGTCTTACTACACTAAAGTCATGACATTTGCAGAACTACTTCTAACCAGAGACTCTGATGGGGAAATCTATTTCCACACTTTTTCGAGCAGCTAGATGACACCTTGTAGTTCTTTTTCATGTCATTCTGATCTTTTACCTCTGTCATTGCAACTGTTACTTCTGCTTGTTTTTCTCCTGCCTCTTTCTTATAATGCTTTGTGATCACATTGGGCCCAACAGATAATCCAGGGCAATCTTCCCTCTCAAGATCCTGAACTTAATCATGTCTGCAAAACCCCTTTAACAAGGTAAGGTATCATTCACAGACTCCAAAGATTAGGACATAGTCACATTTTGGGAGGAAGGAGATTTATTCTGCCTGTCACATAAGGAAAGCCCAAAGAACCAGCATTGTCGTGATTGTACAGAAATCACTGGCAATAGAAAAATTGTAGCTAAAAAAATGAGATACCATTTTATATGTGTACTAGATTGTAAAATATGGTATTTTAATACAGTCATATCCTGGTGGAAATTTGGAGAAATCAGAAGGCTCAGGCACTGCTTCTATAGTCATTCTGCAGAGCCACACTGAAGAACAATTCAATATTTGTCAGACTGAATATAGAAACATAAAATTAACTCATCTATGTCACTTCTAGTTTTATAATACTGGGGAATTTCTGTGTAAGTCCATAAATGAATATGAACTAAAATGCTCATGGTATCATAGTTTTTGATATTAGCATTTAGAAGAAATTTGAGCAGCCATCACTAACAAAGAATAAGGTATCATGGAGAAAATTTATTAGAAATGAAGCAGCAGCTAAAAGCAACAGATTTGACATTCAGGAAACAACTTGATGTATCATAGTATTAAAGTAAACTAAGAACATGATATATAGAAATATATTTCAATTTGAATATGATGGCATATACCAATGTACTTATGAAATTATATATTTATATATTAAAATATGTACACACAGTATTGCATATTTAGAGGATATATACCTATACATTTATGTAATTATATTAAAATATTTTCATACAATTTTGTGTATTTTAGAGATCACTTTAAGTAAAAATGATACACCAAAAATAACATTAATACTAGTATGTATCTATTATATTTATAGAAATGTTTATATGCATGGAGATGAAAAAGAGTAAAGGAACAAATAAATGACTGCATTTTTTTCAGTTTAATGAAAATACTATACCAACCATATGATAACATGATAAACACGTTATTGTGGAGAAAAAATATTAGAAATGAAGCAGCAGTTAAATGCAACAGATTTGACATTCATGGAACAACTTGATGTATCATAGTATTAAAGTTAATAAATACCAGTGATGAACTGATGAGAACAGAAATGCAATGGAAATGAACATACTGTTTTACATTAACTTAAACTGAGCACTGCAGGTAGATTAGATTATAACCATGGCACAAGATTGTTATCCGAGGTAAATATCCCAGCAGTTCTTCAAATTGTATAAATTTTTTAAATATTATGTGAGAACCTTCCCAGGAAACAGACATCATATATTTAATATTGTTTTAACCACAAAAAAGGTGATATTTATGCTTGGGTGGAAAATAGTCAAAGAATGACATATGATCTGGACTTAAAATACTAAAACTTTTTCCTATTGATCTGCATGAGAGTGATTTGACTTAACAATATTTTCTTTGCTCTATACTTGAGTAAAACAATATTAGAAGAGTCCAAGATCCAACTGTATTTCATTGCTTATAACTTTACCATGCATCATCTTACAGAAGAAAATGTAAAATTATCGTAGTTGATTTTCATGTGATTCATATGACTCTGAATTTAAAACTGATAAATAAAAAGTGACCATTCAAAATGTACAATTAAAATATTGTCCTTCACTTGGGCAATGAAAAAAAGAAAAAGAAACTTTGTTTATCCCACATAACAGCACATAAAAGCTCCCATGTCTGGGAAATGGTTCTGGAGGTACTTTGGTGGAAGGAATTCGGAGTTGGTACATAAACACACTATGGACAAATTGAGAAGAAAATGAAAAATGATGAAAGGACTTGTTGAAAAAATATGAAACATATATAATTTCTAAAATAGAGCCAAAGATCATAAAGTAAAAGACAAAAATACTGGGCTGGGGATGTGGCTCAATAGGTAGTGTGCTCTCCTGGCATGTGCGGGGCACTGGGTTCGATCCCTAGCACCACATAAAAATAAAAAATCGAGATGTTGTGTCCACTGAAAACGAAAAAATAAATACTAAAAAATTATCTCTCTTAAAAATAAAAAAGACAAAAGTACTGACCAGGAGGTAGAGGCTATTGTCAATGGACAAAAGAGGAACACAATAATTGGTGATTCTCTTTTGAGTTCTGGCTGGGAACTGGAACATTTAAATCACATATTTCCAAAAGAAATTTAGATACATGGGTCAGAATAAATCTTTTTAACACTGAGCTGTGTCTTGGCTTTGCAACTTATTGGGATATAATTACTTACCCCATATTGATGTCTGGGGTAAAATATTTAATTAGTGGCTTTGGGGGTGAAAGAATGATGATTTGAGCTTTCTACCAATTTTAGTGTACATATCTTACCACCCATGAACAATATCAAGCTGTCAACATGATGTCTCAAATATAACAATTAGCCTTTGTGTGTAGGTAGCAGCCAACTCTATTACATCATGGCAAATTCCTGAAATCAGCAATCGATTACTAAACTGTGTAAAACACTTAGCACTGAAATTAGTACATAAGAACAATGTAGGAGCTCTGGATTTCTCTTTCAGTATCATATAGGACACTTTCTTTTCTAACTTGTATTACATATATGGGTGAATATATACAATATTAATAACATTCCTAGTAATACATATATAGTGATACTGAATAAGAAACAATTTTGAAGGCCAAGAACATTCTCACATTCCTGATTGTGCATCACTGGCTTCTTCAATGCAATGAGTAAATTTTATCATTCCACATGTCTGGGCTGTCTAACCTCTACATATCTTCAAGAAACCTTTGTTCCTTGACAACTTCTAGGAGATAATCTCTAAGCCCTTAGCATATCATTGCCTAAAAAATGTCTTTGTTTTCCTGGGATCTGGGCCTAGGCTGGATCATATATGGTTGCACTGTGGTTTTTGGTCTAGACCTTCGTCCACACAGTAATAATTGACCTGGAATGTCTATCTTAATGCAGAGAGAGAAGTGTGGGAAGCAGGAGACTGAGGAATTAATGTTACCCACGAGAATGCTGTTGATCTACATGGCCAACCCCTAATAAAAATGCTAGACACCCAGTGTCCAGGGAATTTTCCTGGTTGGCAAATCTTTCTGCAGGCTGGCTCCTATCACTGCTAGCAGACTAAGGTAATATCTCTTAAGACTCCACTAGGAAAGCACGATCAGAAACATCCCTTGTTTCTCCTGGACTTTGTCCCATATACATTTATCTTTGCTGATTTTAATATGTATACTTATATATGTATTAGATACATACATGTATTAGATACATACATTAGATAATAAGAAATTATAGCCCTGAGTATAAAAGGGTCAAAATGGTGAGGTAGTTGATTTTTAGATTTGGTAGACTTTTATTTCATTTTACCCAACATTTTCCCACAATTTTAGCCTTCAGACTCTCTTTATTCTACAACATACTTTTTTTCCTTATGTGTTTCCTTATTGTTTTGTTTAAACTTGTTCTGACCTGTTATCCTTATTATGTAGTCAGCTCGTAGCAATGCAAGGATGTGCCCTTCTCAGCCTCAAGTTCATTTTAACAGATTATTTAATGTTAAAAATTCTTTTGGGCTCTGGTTGCAACTCAGTGTTAGAGCCCTTGCCTGGTATGTACATGGCCCAGGCTTCGATTCCCAGCACTGTAAAGCCAAAAAAGAATAAATAATAAAAATAATAGATTTTCATCTACTGAGATGGACAATGAATAAAATGTTGCAAATGAACTTCTGTTTCCAGAGAAAGTTTTAGTGTTTAAACTTCAGTGGAAAATCCACTAGCAGCAAGGAGGTAGAGTCCAGGGATTTCACTAAGTGGCCTACAGTGTATGGAATAGGTCTTCACCACAGGAAGTCATTTACCACAGTGTCAAAGACTTTAAACTGAAAAGACACCTGCAATACAATTACCTTTATGATTCATCCTTAAAGCAGAAAAGGCATTCACAATGATTCAGGGAACAGAACGGGACAAAATAAGTCTCTTCCAGGAAAAAATAACTCAACCGGGAAAACTTGTCATTTCTAATAAATAATTATGCTTATTTAGCTTACAACACAGGGAGCTGACACTGAAAATGTTTGAAGTTTAATCCCAGTTATAATCAGCTAATAGGGCTTAATATATTAGTTTTAAATACATCATGGTAAATAAATACACATTCTGTTTAAGATTGTAATTTTAATGAAAGAAAAGTTTTCATTTACTAAGTTGCAACTTCCTATTGTTCATTGACAATGTTTGCTTTTAGTGCATATAGATTTATGGCATTTATAAGCCAATGTTTGATATAAAAGGGATCTCAGTAAAGAGAAACTTCATATCTCTTCAATATTTATATCTGTTCAATATTTATGAAGCTTCAGTTAATTTAGCTATGTCTTTCAAATATCGAATAACACTTTTCTTTTAAATTTTTAAATTTGAAAATAAACTAGTATTGTTATCAGATGAAGATAGCCAGTCAGCCATTGAGACTCAACGTCCTTGCAGAGTATAAAGTCACAGTGAAATTTTGGACAAATTTTTAGTCATCAAACATATTGTCAATCATATAAATGGTTATCCTTTGCCCTTAGCTTATGCACATAAAATTCTGATTGATGCCAAAGGGAGCCCTGAGTGCCTTTTGAGAGTACTGAAGTTTGAAACTTTATGGTGTGTTCAGAATATCTTTGAAGCCCAGTTTTTGAGGAGAAATGCAACATTTAAAAAGTACTTCTTCGGGGCTTATTCTTATCCACTGAAAACAAGTTTAGATTACCCATTTTAAATCTGATGTTAGGCTTGGATTGAAAAAATACAATGTAGGTTAGTGGATAGTTGATTTCTAATGGATTGTTTCAGTTGATTTCAATTTCTAGATTTATAACCTTGGGGACCCAGAGTGTCAAACTCTCGACTTCTTTTGTTGAATCTTAATATTTAAGTTTCTTTCACCCAACTTTATAGTTACATTTTTTATTTAATTCATGGTATTGCTATAAATTAAGTCATTTTTGTTAGCATTGTCAACAAAATTTATCAAGAGAAGAAATCAGG